CCCTAAACCCCTAACCGTCCTAACCCCCAAACCCTCAGCCCCCAAACCCTAAACCCTAAACCCTAAACCCTAAACCCTAAACCCTCAGCCCCCAAACCCCTGAACCCTAAGCCCTCAGGTTCCAAACCCTAAACCTGGAAGCCCAACAATTCCGACACCGAGGCCCCCACTGACCCTCGCGCAGTGTCAGCGTGGCCCCATCTGGGATCCGGAGAACCTCGCCGCGACAGACCTGCGAGGGTTTAGGGTTTACCTGTGACCCCAATCCCTACAAAATAGTAGGTTATGACCCCTTAATTAGAGGGTCCCATAAAACGGTAGGTTTTTGGATCCCCAGGTAGGGTTTAGGGAACGAGGGAAGCCGAGATTCGTGTTCATTTCTGTGCTCCTTGTTGCTTTGGGGCATAGTGGCTGAAATGGGTAAGGTTGGCTTCAAGGCAAACTCTTGGTTTATGTATACGGGTGTCCAGTAACCTGGAAACATGTGTGTATGCACACAAGCATTGTTCACATGGTTACATACATACATATATATATATATATATATATTGTGATAACACTAATACCGAATAATAATAATCATGATAATATGTCTATATAATTCTATATATATATATATAAATATACACACACACATCGACTTTCGAGGCTTAGGATAAGATTTAGGCTTCTATCCGGGTTCTATGATGCTTACCTCAAGCGAGAAAGGCTGCAGGGCTTAAGGCTTGGAGTTTCGGGCAGCTGCTATCAAAGGCCGACAAATGTCTCCGCAAGTGTCCAGTCCCAAACCCGACAAGCATGAAGGAACAATCACGGCATACACATGACAGGCGATTACGAAGCATCACATGGGGCTTTCCGAAAATGGGGGACCCTAATATAGTACCCTAAATGGTAGGATCCTTATTATAAGGACTCCAAAATAAGGTACCCCGAATTTCGGAAACTCCCAATTAGGCGGACGGAGGAGGCATGGCCTTTGAACATCAACTGAGGCCTCTCGGCCTGTCGGGGCGCAAGCCCCAGGGGTGTTGATATAGGGGCTTAGGGGCTTAGGGGTTTAGGGCTTAGGGCCTTCATAATCAGAATAGGGTTTGGGGGTATAGAATACTACAATTACAATAAGGAACCCCCAAAAAAGTATGCTAATTCTTGAGGCCCCTACATTAGCATTTAGGGCCGGCAAAGGGTACTCGTGCCAGATGCGAAAGGTTGAACCCATGGGCCCCTAGTATGGGCCCTTAACCCTGGGATCCTTATACACCTACTATATACCCTATGAGTACCCTTAAGGGTCCCTAGAAAGGCCTAGGGGTCCATGTTAGGGGCCCGAACCCTAAAACCCCAAACCCCCAAACCCACATAAACCCCCAAACCCTAAACCCCTAAACCCTAAGCCCCAAAACCCTAAAACCCTAAACCCTAAACCCTAAACTTCTGACCTGAAGATTCCCGGTGCCAAGACATGGCTTCTTCGGGGGTGGAGCCTTTCTGGTCCGAGGGGGCTTCCGGTTCTCGCAGCCCACTGGGCTTGCAGAGGAGCTCTGCGGTTTAGGGCTTAGGGTTTTAGGGGTTTTGGGTTTTGGGGGTTTAGGGTTTTAGGGGTTTTGGGTTTTGGGGTTT